CCCAGTGCCGCTGACTTTCTTGCCTATATGGAATACATGCCTGCCCTGATGTGTGAGTGTTTTGAGGAGCATAATTCTGAGAATGAGGGAAAAAAGAATAAAATTGTGTATTTGAAAGTGTATTATAAGGAGCTGATTTTTCAATATATGTGTATTTACATTAACATTAAATAGTCCATAGAAGAATAACAGCAGTTCTTCAAGCAAATATTTAAAATAAGAATGATAAATAAGTCTCATACTAAAAGAGATTTTGAGGCACAGTTCCCAAGTGTGGGAATCCTCACCTGAGATCACTAGGGCTTCTGCCATTTTCTCCCATTCACTCTATTTTTATTTCTGGCTGGTAATTTGCTTGTTCGTATAGCAAAGATAGTCTTTGCAAACCAATATGTAGATCATAGGCACAGTAAAATTAAATGTTGTGTTTTAGTACTTAGTGATGCAAAAGGCAAACATTGCAGTCACTGCCTAGAGTATTTCAGTGTAGACAGTGGTTAGCATCCTTGATGCCTGCAGGTAATCCTAGGTTTTAGCGTTCCGTAGGTGTCTGCAACTCTCAGGTTGTGTGAATGCGGCAGACTGTGGTTTATGGGTGCCACCAGTAAATTAATATTAGTGCTGATGCAGACATCCAGATAAAGGTGAACAATTTTGGTTTACCACATTCTCAAAACGAGTAGAGGATGTCTTACTTTTTCCTGTTAATTTATATAAAAGATAAACTAAGTGGCATTCTCACTTTGTGCACTTAACAGAGTTTAGTAATGACAAAACTTAGAGCCGGTACTTTTGGGTGATCTAAATGGGAGTTAAATTTTGGTCAGACATTAAAATGTGATTATGTTTTAAGGTATAGCTCTGAGGTTTCGGTGAGTCATTGCCATGAGTGGGAGGGTAATGCAGCTTCTTTCAATCTAAGCCCCTGTGTGTGTATATGCCACATCAGATGAGGCTGGAGGGAGAAGGGACACAGCAGGAAAGGTAAAGACCTTGCAATAGTCCTTTGGAAAATCCCATTTTATTGGAATATGGAACATTAAAAACTTTTGCCTGTATTAGGTATTATGGTGTGTTTATCTGAAATTCTCAAAGGTGATAAGTACGTTTACGTTCACAATGCATACCTGATCGGTTCTGTAGTTGTTTGAGTTACAAGATACTGAACCACATGTGCTCTGGATACGGTGGTGGAATAAATTTCTCATACGTGTGGGACTGTGACCGTTAAAACAATCATTACTGAAACCATATACCTTATTTCCTGTAACTAATAGCAGCTCTCTACCTATGGAATATATTAACAGTTATTCCTTTGGTTTTGGATTGTTATTCAGCTATTTTGTTGGACAGATATTTAAGCATAATCAGTAATTTATGTTGTCTGAATACGTCAATGAACAGAGCTAATTATGGCTTTCTGGTTCAAGCTGTGCTGATGTTTATGAAACCACATTTCTGTTTATAAGACAGAGTGAATGTGTATTCTTTAATAAATCATGGAAAATGATGATTTTTCTCTTACCTAGATTGGTTAATAAAAATACTCTAGCTGGTGTTCACCTAGAGTTTAAAAAGAAGCCATGGTTTCTGTGGCTAGTTTAACAGGTGATGCTTCCGTGCCGTTAAAGTAACAATTTATTATTCTGTATAGTACTCAGAATTTCTTTTAAAGGAAAATTGTTGGGTCAGACAGCAGTGGCCCATTTGTTGTTTTTTTGCAACGTGCTCGCTGTGCATTAGAACTGAAGTCCTGGATGAATGTCACTGTGAGATGCTGGCTTTGTGACAGTACCTAACGACCTGCCCAAATTTCTTGGTACCTCAGTATACCTCTCTGTTAATCATGTAATTTTTGACACTGTTACCAGTTTGGAGGATTTTTTAAATTTCAGGTAGTTTCTATTTAATAATATCCTGAAGAATGTGCTGCTACTTAAGGTATAGTAAAAGATTTTCAGAGTGGAGGGTGCTGCAGCCCTGTGGATGTGGTTGAGCTGTTAGAGGAACACCCTGTATCACTGGCTCTAGAGAGGAAGCACTGGAATGAGACAGGGGAAGCAGTTCTGGTTTTCTGATATTTGTTGTTTTCTTGGAAATGGGGAAAAGAATACCTGGAGGGATTTATATTTAACTGAGGATTGCATTTCATCAGATAAGGTGAACGTTCTCAGGCCATTTATCAGCTGTGTCTTTTCGAGACCTCTAAGGAGTATGTGGTACATATTTACCTTCACTTGGCTAGGTCAAGGGAAATAAAGCAAAAATAATTTTTGTATGTGAACAAAACTGGAAGTCATGTGGGTGAAATATGAGGCAAATGACTGTCTCCTACCTCCTCTTTGCCTTTTTAAATACAAGAAATTTTTAGTTATATATAATTTCCTTTGCATTATCAGTATATCTTCTTAAAACAGAAGATTTATTGAGTTTTTCATTGCTCCAGCTTAGTTAGCCCCTGAAGTCAACATGACATATATTGTGCTGCCATTATTCTTTAGTAGTTTCATAGGTAAGTAGCATCTTGTAAAAACACAAAACAAGAACAAAATATGCCATATACTGCTCCTTAGATAACATGTCTCTAAATTGAATTTCCTGTATATTGCTAGTAATGTATACAGATCATACCACACTAGAATTCTATAAGTGCTAGTGAGGTTTTTAGTGAGCAGTTTGGGGTTCTGGGGAGTGAGAGCTTTGTAAGAAAGTCTTTGAGCTTCAGATCATCTCTTAAAAATGCATCACTGCTGATTTTCACCCTCATGTGCTGCTGCTGCTGTGGGATCTATGAGTGTTATTGTCAACAATTACATAGCCAGAGTGATCTAAGACCTGCTCCATGGTGCATCCATAATTTCAACCCATTTTCCCAATGTAAATAGCCAAAGGGAGTTTATTGTAGGGTAATATTTGTGTAATGTTTGCATAATACTTTTTTATTAATAGAACTACAGGTAGGATAAATGCAGAGTCACCTAAATGTCAGGATCTTTAAGCAAGAAGGAAACCTGAGAACTGAAAATAATCTCTTATCATCAGGACGAACAGTCATTCTCTGTCTCCATAAGGGATGTGCACTGAAAAATGTTGCCAAATAAAACCGAACAGCACATTGTTGATTCAGCTAAACCTAGCAATAAAACTGGTTTCAGAAGTAGTCTGATGAAGTGCAATTTGATCAGATATGTCATGAACGAATTACTTTATTACTGATAGTGCTAATGATTTGAAAATGAACTGCAGCTCGTTCTGTCTGTGAGTGACTGACTCAGTGGCATTTGCCAGCTTTTCACGTACCTCTTTTTCAGGGGCTGAATTTGCAAAATGCTTCCCTCTAGTCCTTTAAGTTAAATTTTCAGTGACATTTGATGACAAGCGTAGCATGATTAATTACAAATTGTTCTTTAGGTGAATAGTGCAGGTTCTAAAACACAGCTTGTGTTTTTATAACAGTTATTACTGTGCAGGCTCCAAAAGGGCCTTGGAGCAGAGAGTATGATTTCAGTTACATCATTGTAAATTCAGAAAACGTCAGTGATCTCAAAAGTGTGATTTTTGAAATTAGGTCAGAGGAAGAGAGATCAAAATCTGCTTTGCTACCTGAAAAGAAGCAAGCTTCAAACTGGAGTGAAGTCACTGCTTCCAGAAGGCTATAGGTTTTCATTCTTTTGACAAATATGTTCCTTTCAAATATAATTTATTTGAAACAGTATGGGGGAGTGAATAATAGAGCAAATTATAAACTAAATCCAGGCTGGATTATGGCATAAAAGTAAGAGCACAGAATACTTTGCTGATTGATTTGTAATGGAGATCTGCATCACCTTTTTTACATGGCACCAGGATGGACCAATGACTGAAAGCTGTCTAGAGCTTTCTTGCATTTTGTCTCCCAATTAAATGTATTCAGTGTTCGGATTTGTCTTGCTGACTAGTGGATATTTTGATAGCTACTTTGCACTTGTAAGGTTTTTTTGTTCTGGTTGTTTTCTACCCTCTGATTAGAGCATCCATAATTGTTTTTAACCTGAACTTGACACTGAGACAGAACAAATAACATTAATGGAGAGTTCTGCCTTGTTGGGTTATGTTGAAATCATCAGCGAGGTAGTCGTGGATGGTGAATACCTTTCAGGATTTTATTTTCAACTATTGTATGTGATGGTTTTGTTCAAAGTATATGAAAAGCAGCTTTTCAGTACCCCAAGTCTGTGACTCATGAAAGAGATGAGCAGTAGTCACAGGGTTTTCATCTTTCCCTTCACTTTGGACAGCATTTTTTTTGCATCCTGTTTGTGAGCAGCTTTGTGGTTTCTCATCTGAGAGTTTCCTTAAGCCTGCAACACTGTTCTCTTCCAGGCATTTTGGAGTGTTAAAAAAACCCCACCCAAATGGTTTACACATCCTGTAGGTTCCTAATACATAGCTTGGGCAGTGATCCCAGATCCCAGCAATGCAAGAGAGTATCCCGGGGGGATGCTCAGACTGTGTCTCCCCATGTTGGTCTCTGCCTTCAACTCACCCAGATTACCATTATTACCTACTATTGGGGCTGGAGTGTGTTTGAATTGTTCTATAGTTTTATCTACCACCAGGAAGGGGGGGGGGGGGGGAACCTATGTAAAAATGAATAAACTACTTCTTAACCTATGAAAGAATTGTATGTATTTGAGAGTGAGTGTGTAAAGTAAAGCTGCTTTTAAGTATCATGATTGAAACCAACAACAAATTCAAAATACAGTATTTTTTTTAAGTCCTGCACATTTTGATTTGAAAATTACAACTGGTATCTTTCAATGGCTGAAACTAATAGGTGTGATGATTTTGTCATCATGATTTCTAGGTAGCCTTTTCTGAAGCAAACTTATTAATATGAAGGATCAATTTTACATCAAAAATGAAGGCCCTGTAAGGCCTTGCAATATGTTTCTGTTCTTTTTTCTTTTCAATATAAATTTTTTAGTTAAAAAAAAATAATTCTCTGTTGTAATTTTCAGAATCCAGACGGTTTGGAAGCACTTAGAAAATGTGTGTTCTTCTAATTGAAGCCTTTTATGGTGGTTCCCACAAACAGCTGATGGATCTTCTCCAGGAGGAGCTACAAGAAGACTGTGTCCTCTATACACTCCCTGCCAAGAAGTGGCACTGGAGAGCACGGACTGCTGCTCTCTATTTCATGCAAACAGTGCCAATGAGTCCTAATTACAGGTAACCCAGGAATCTGATATTTTTTAAACTCAAATTAGAGAGGCCTTCAGCCAATTCTTGAGTTGAATTTTCAGTTGTGTGCATTCAGGTGAATATGTGCGAGCAAATGGTGACTTGAAGTGGACAACACAAGGTTTTGTTTTTGCATTTTTTTTCTTGGGGTATAAGTGGGAAATTGCTGCCATTTTTTGAAGCTTCTTAGACTATTCTGTTATGCAATGGTAGCCCTTGAGAGTCTCTAAGTCAAAGTGCATTGATACCTTTTTGTGTATACATGTATGTGTACATCTTATTTTGAAATTATAAAGTGAATTCAGTAAAACTGAAAGGTTTAAACTGCTTCACAAATTCGGTTGAAAGGTGGCACAGATGTGAACACTGCATGCTTTCTCACTTGCACTCCGACGTATCTATTAGCAGTCTGATTTATCAGTGTGCATCACTCAGGCTGACCTGGAGGATTAAGGGAGCAGGTTTATCTTAATGATGGTATGGTTCTATAATATTCCAGCAACTGTGGATGTCAATTATGCATGTACGTAAGTGGCAAATTTCTATCAGCTAGAACCTGGACTGATAAAAACAGACTATTTAGGTCAAGAGATAGCAGTCATATAGTGAGAATCAGTCACTCCAGAACCAAGCTGTCTTTAAACCCAGCAATTTTACTTGTCCTACCTCATCAGTTGAGATGTGGTAAGATGATTGTCTTGAGCAGTGACATGTCGTGTGGTGCGGCGTGTGCTCCAGTCAGGTCATGCAGCAGAGCATCACAGCATGCACAGTAAACGGGCACTTTGTTGACTGTGCACCTTCACGGAGATGGCCAGTTCCTGCACAGAGATGTTTTAGCACAAGCATCTGCTTTTCAGCAACAGAATGAAACTTCAGCAGGACCCTGAGCACACCTAAATGCTGTGCTAACTTAGTTGAAGGTCAGAACTGGGTCTGGTATTTGTTACCAGGAGCAAGCAGGCATAGTTGGCTGGAGAGGAGTATGATTTTTCAAGAGTAGATCTTGTGCTATAGAGGGCTGCATTTTTAGTGTGACCCAACATAATGTCTAATCCAGTTTGGGATGCATACTATATAGATGTACACCTTTTCCTGTTTCTGGCTTGCATTTAAAATAAGCTACCCTCCCAAGCCAAATGTTGTGTTTAATTTTCCCTGCTTTGTCTTCTGTGAGGCATTCAACGTTGGTTTCCTGTTGCTTTCCTTTTGCAACAGTTTTGTTTCGGAGGAGTGTATATGACAAACTGTTATGTAAATTTGTCTTGTATCGCAACCACATCCTCCAACGCATCACAATGTTATCTGTGTTCCTTCAAGGTCAGCAGCCCAAGCTGTCCAGCACTAACTGTATTAAAGTAATCAGACATCTCTCGTAGACATCCACTTCATTAGTTTAACTTATAGTTACATTGACCTAAGATAACTTAACTCCAATTTGTCAAGTAACCCACGTCTTGGGGGAAGGGGGAAGGAATGATGACAAAAAAAAAACAACCAAAAACCCACAAAAAACCCCAACAACCCAGCAAAAATACCTCAACCCAGCAGCCTGGAAACTCAATTGAAGTTAATAAACTTGCAATCTGTCATAGACTTATGTGCAAATATAACCTTTACTGACAGCAAGTAAATCTGATCTAACCAATAGAGCATCTTAAAGAGAGGAAAGCTTTTTCTTTGCTGTTGCTGTTTAGGGTTTGATCAGACAGAATCAAATAGTCAAAGTTGACTAAGATGCGATGTCTAAAAAAGAGTATGTACCTTGTGCGTACAGGCAGGATAAAATTTTAGGAACAAGGGCTGATGTGGCTGATAAGAGGAAAACTGATTAGAGGTACCTTCTACTTTACTTGCACATTTTTAATGTTTGTTTTGTAATTGAATGTTTCCAGTATTTTATTAAAGTGCAGCAGACTGCAACCTTGTAAGACTGACTACTATCTCCTATTAGGAACAACATTGATTAAAATTAACATTGATTCTTTTATTTCTAGCTTGCTAGTAACCACTGAAGATGCGCTTCCCAGGTAGTAGTTTGCTAAGACAAAATTGTTGTAAACTGGTAGGAGTGTGCTTTGAATAATGCATTTAAATATTTCAACCTTCTTGTGAGGTCATGGGAAATATCAAATTTGCATTATTTATAATATTTACGTTATTTGTAGGATAAAAATTTTCTTTTCCATGTGATTTTCATAAAGGGGATGTTTCATAAATAGCTTGTTTCTGTTTGTGCATTTCATAATACAGAAAGGACACAAATATTTTGAGGGCAATCACTTGGTAATGGAGCTGCATTTCTAAATTTTTATTTTCAAACTGTACTTTATTTCAAAATGCTGGTATGTAGAGAAGTAATATTGGTGCTAGTAAGTCTGATACTGCTGTGCATCCATTCAGCAGTAGTATATATAAGTTTTAAAAGATCTGTTCTTTTATACATATACACTGGTAATGGGAAAGAAACAGGTTTGTTTAGTTGTCAGATGATGTTCAGTGAGTTAAGGGACAGTCTTAAAAAGTGCTTTGGAAGCAGAGTATGCAGCGCAGGATCATCGATATTAAATTCAGATACTCTGCAGTGACTAGGGAGTTTATGTGAGGAACTTTCAAATATTTTTATCGGAGAATAGACATGTACTCCCTTGAGCAAGAATTAAAGCTGAATTAGTAACGAGCAGTGCATCTGATGTTACTTTTGTGAACCGTGTGGCTGATATTTTGGTGTGCAATAAAATGATGTTCCCATGCAAGAATAAGAGGATCTATCCAGAATTGTCTCAGGGATATGTCCTCGCCCTTTAAGGGGAACACATGTAGCAATTATGGAAGGTATCAGACACTTAGTATTTTATCTGCAGTGCTGCATAGATTTATATGAGTTCCCCATCACAAAGGCTGTGCTGTGTGTTTCTCTAGAAAATTGTCAAGTTTCCGTTTTCATGGATTCATTGTGCAGTCTTATACCAGCTTATGTCTTTATTCATCTCCTCAAAGAAGGACAGGAGCCCTGATGATTGGGGAAGATGACGCATGCAGCAAGTCCTCCAACTTGGAAGGCCATAGGGAGAGTTTTTAAAGGCAGCTTACTTGTCTAGTAAACTTGAAATGGTGTAATATATTGAGGTACAGCAGTCACAGGGCTGAGCATTTCTGAGAGCTTTCTTAATTGCTATGCAGAGACTCACATGATTTTTCCTTAATTAGAAAGAAGGTTTCTGTCTGGACATTGTAGTAGTCCAAGGATTTTCATCCTTGGGGGTGGCAGTTGCCAAATCACAGTGTTTGGAATGTGCTGAAAAAAAGGCAGAATTGCTGTGCTTTCCCTAAATAAGTTTTTCAACAATCATGCAGTTTTGCTAGCAGTTAATGGAATATTATCATTTTAATTCAGTAAATTAGGAAGGTCCAGCAGGGAGATGTGACCTCCTCAGGCTGCTGGCTGTCTGCAGAGCTGCTGTGTTGTCTGCTTTGTTTCCCAATTTGCTTCAGACAGCTTAAACTCTTTGATAAATATAGATGTCTGATCTTGTCTAAAGTTGTTTTCCGTAGCACACAGTGACTGTTAAGTAATTCCAGAAAACATGTAACAAAAAAAATTTTTTTTATCCTTTTTTTTTCTTCTTAATTCAATGGAATTTCTCAAATTTGAAAATAGCATTGCAGAAGTTAATGGGGGGGGGAAGTTGCTTTTCTTTTTTTTTTCTGTAATTCTTTATTACTGTGAACAATCTTTAACATTTCAAATAATAGATCAGTTATGACACACTAGATGAAAGTATTTTATATTTTGAGGGCTGTACTCTACAGTAAGTAATTCAAACTCAAAAAAGTTAGTACTATGAGACATATCAGCAAAGCAGAGAGACTAAATACAGTGTAGCTTCCAGTTTGTTTTAATAGCACTGGTAGATTATTTTAAATATATATATATATATGAGAATATTATGTGTAACAATCAGTATTGCCCCCCAGGTAGCTGTTCATATGAATGAAAATTTTATTTGTAACAGACTCTAGCCCTAAAATGCCCCTAGGATAAATGTTAGCGTATATATACCCCTTGATATTTGATAACTATATTTTAAAGACAAACTCTATGCTTTTTACATTTTACAAAAGAGAAAACAAATCACTGTTTTTAATTAATAGAGCTCTGAAAAAAAACCAACAAACCCAACCCAGCCTGGGGGTTGTGATGTTCAGCAATATATAGCAATATATAGTGTATTCCAGCAGTATCTTCTGTATATCTTCTGTAGATGTCTTGGTTTGTGTGTCTTTTTTTTTTTTTATATGTGTGGGTTTTTTTTTTGGTGGGTTTTTTATTATTATTTTTTATTTAAATAACCTGTGAAGACTACTAGATTTAGGATTGTTTCAGATCTGATGCTTTCATTCTGTTCTGTAAGAAGAAAACATGTTATTGTAGAGTGAATTCTTTACTACCTGGTGGATCGGTGTTGCCTAAATGTACTCTTTAAAATAACGGTCCTGTAAATTTTATTCCAGTGAGTAGTTCAGTCTCACTGAAAACATAACACAGCTTGCATGTGTGAGCATCTAGAAGCTGGAGTGCGTACTGTTTTCTGGATATTAAAAAAAAACAAACAACCCTGACAGTAATATATCCTGGAGAAGATGTCTGAATAAAGATGTGAATTGAAGCAAGGCAAGGCAAATTTCAGCCGTTTCATCAAAGATGGGTAATACATAGATGCCTGTTAGTGCTGGGAACCTTTCTGTCTTTTTGTACCTTTATGTCAAATGCTGGAAGTGCATCTTTATATAATCGTCGTAGGAAGTGCAGTAATTTTGCCTGCATTAGAGGCCTTCCCAGCATTTAACCGTAATAACACTCAGGTAAAGAAATAAGTAAATAGGATGTGTGAGTAGTACAGTAGTTAAAGATAACCATGTACCTGAAAATTAAGCAAATAAAATGTTTACCTGATTTTTTTTTCCCCCCCCTTTTTTTTGTGGTG